TCTCGGGTTCGGGTACGGTATTTGCGCCTCGACGCGCACCCCACGTCGCGGCCCGAGGGCGTCGTCGAGGTCGAGAAAGCCGACTGGAAGAGGAAAGGCAGTCCTTAGGACGAGATGGAGACCTCCGGATGAGACCAGGTGAGAGCACCTTGCCTCGGCCGATAAATGCATATCTAACCAGGTGCACCGGTGAAAGGAATTTCCACGCGAAATTATTAATACTTATTCAATCATTAATTGCACTGCATTTCGGAGTACCGACTCAGCGCTCGAGTGAAGCGAGAATCGTGCACGTAGGTACTCGCACGAATTGAAATCACTGTGTAATTCTAGGTGGAATGTTAGTATCGCGGTTTTATTCAAAGGATCGAACCCTTATATTTACCTAATAACGCCTAATTTTGTTTTTTCTTTTTTGGCGTACTTATAGTTGATAGAGAAGCGTAATGGGGGTCGTAGGAAAATAGGTTCACTCGGATGATTACTCCAAGAGAGTTTAGATGAGACGCTACACGGAATTCCCGTAGGAGCGAAATATTCCCGGTATTAATGAGCATCCTTCGATGGCCGAGGACACGCTGGACCTCCACATTTCGAGGAAGGAGCAGGACGAGAAGGTGTCGTTCCCGTCTTGGGGAAACCGAGCGGAAGGCGAGTCGGGAGTTCGAGAGGGCGAACTTACGACAAACACTCGTCGAGTTGGAGATGTCTTCCCCCCCTCGTCCCCTCCCGTCTTTTGCCTCTCATTTTTCCAAAGTCAATTATCGTCTGCAGCCGGGACCTTTTGCCCTCTCAAAGGAGCCTCGGCAGGAACTTGGGTGTACTTAACGTGACGGCAAAGAGCAAGGGCGTACTTAGAGAGTAAGCGAAGGACTTTAAGCTCGATCGGCCAGGGTGGCCCCCTCGTTCACCCTGGACACCGACTTTTCGAAACGGTGACTGGCCAGGTCAAGAGGATTTCCTCGCGAGCGAAACGCTCGAAGCACCCACTTCGCGAAGTACATTTGGGTGCTCCATATGTCCGGACCAGGGGACCTAAGCATTTGTAACATCCAATTACGCAAACCGAATCGAAGATTCCCGGCGAAGCTCGATCCGAAAAGGACCTTTTCCACGTCTTGCCTATTTTTCATTCCAACGCGTGTCTATTTTGTCCACACACACCTGCTGATGAAAATATAAATTTTTTCTAAGATTTGGATTTTCCGGACGCGCGGCTTACCCTTAATTTATCTCCTGAATTGATTTTAAGGGGTTTTAAGGGTGAGGTGTGGAACTAATTTGAAAATGGGTCGAGCGGATCTATCCGGCCGGGATTTTTATACCAGGTGTGTAAGGGTCCTGGGGTAAATTTCTCTTTAGAGCGAAGTTTCAGAAGATTTTACGGGACTTGGGGGGGACAAATAATGCGCCTGTACTCGGGGGCTTAAAGGCTTCGGCTTGATCGGCTTTAGGTGGCCCTCACCGCCACTTCGTGTAAGTCCACTTTAGTCTGCGACTTTATAAATGTGTGCTTTATAAAGTAGGGTCAAGGGGTTTCCCGGGACATCTGTGTGTACTTTGCACCCTGGCTCGCACTCAAAGCACCCACTTCCGGGGGTGCTCCAGAATGTCCCGTGCGTTGCGGCTCGTCCAGGAGCGAGCCCTCGGCCAGGACTCTTTGCAACGTAAACAGGACCTTCGTGAAATCGTGGGCCAAAAGGATCGCCCGGGAACGAGATTTCTTCCGTGAATCCTCTCCCATTGCGTTCCTTTCCTGTTCTTCCTCGTCCTTTCAAGAGCACGGTCCTTATTTCCGGCACGTCCCTCAAGTTCGGACGCTCCTCTCTTCCCCAATATTCCCGCTGGATGTTTTTCCAGTTTATTTGATTTTTTTACGATGAATTTTCGATTAATCATAATTATCATCGCTCAAAGGGTATTTCGACGGATTCAAACGCAATGCCGATATATTAAATATGGACCTGCAGCGTAAACAGGAACCTCGCGAAATCCCGGGCCAAAAGACTCGCGTAAGAACGAAATTTCCTACCCCTAAAAAATAAATTCATCGAACCAAAGAAATATTTAGTCAATTGGAAGAATAATTCTTTGACTCGAGTGAGTTCAAATTGTCACAGTTCATGACACACATATATTAAATATGGAACGGGAAGGGCTAGGCGAGTGCCTCGAAAGGACTCTTTGGTGTCCCGATTTTCGGCGCCTCCTGGGAAAGGATCGAGAGTATTTCCCCAGCTTCGCCTGCTAGCACTCGAAGCTCTCTCTTCGGGTCGACACTCGAGCACCCAGTAGACGTTCTCGCCCGGCTTTAAACTCCCTGCAAGGCAAACAGGACCTCCTCCAGGAATCACCTGGCGCGCGACAAGGATCGATCCGGAACGAGATTTCTCCCCGAGTTGCTTTCTTTTCTCGTGCTCCCGATTTTCCCTGCCTCTTTCGGGAGTCCTCCTTCCAGCGTTACACGCTTTGCTAGGCTGCGTGTGCTTACACACCCGACACACATAAACGCGCGTAGAGGACCGACATACACGCATGTCGCGTTCCAGACCCCCCGGGGAGCTTCATACGTTCACATAAATCTACATACAGCCTCCGAAAAGAGGGGCAAACGATCCTACAGCCTAAACAACGACGATATGCGATATCGTTGTCTCGGTTTGCCCTCCTGGGAGTTCCTTTGGCGAGTCTTCCTCGTAACGAGGTCGCTTGCCTAATCGCGGTTCTTGCGGTAGAATTTCGTCGGCTCGACGGATAGAGTAGCTCCCCTGAATCGGCGGAAAAATCCCCGTGGATGTGTCGCCGGTTATCATACATTTCACACATTTCCCGGGACTTTATCCGTCCTTGTCGTCTCCACTTTCATGGCTCGCGCTGAGCGCAGGTTCTCACGGTACGATTGAGACGAATCGCGGGGCGAGAAATCTATTTTCTTGGGAATCTGGATTTGGATCTCTGCTCTCTCCCTTCTTTCTTTCTCTTTTACATAGAACTCGAAACCGACTCCAATCGCCGATCTGTCCAGCAGGTTCCGTCTCGCAGGGTCTCTTCGGCGTCTCTTCGGCGTCTCTGCAGCATCTCTTTCCTCGGTGTTATTTTCCAATAATCCATCTGCGTTCCTTAGAGCTCGCTCTTGCCGTAGACTCGACATGGGAGAACGATTATTTAGATTCATGGAAAAAATATCTCCCCGGGACTTACGCGCACGTGTGGAATCGGGCCTCTTTCTTCTCCACGTTACCTTTCCTTTCCGAGACCGATTTCGTTCCTCCACGCCGTTTCTGCAGGTTGTTAACGTCTCGATTGCTATCATTATTCCCGTGCTCGCTCCTTGCCCGTAAGGCCTCGTTCATTTTAATTATTTACATGGGCGCTCCGTGCCCGCAAGGCCCCTCTCTTTCCCTGGACCCGCCACGTCAAAGATTAGTACGTGTCACCGGGAGAAATATTTCATATCTCCTAAGCCGGACATTAGTCCTGCCATAAGTGACGGAGTAATTCCCTCTGCCACCTCGATTTGTACATTAGGAAGTGGATTCTTTTTCCTCCACCTTTCTTTCCCTTCTCCAGATTTTCTTGCACTCGAGTTTTCACGTCCTCTCGTTTCTGCGTTCATTCGGCTGTTACCATTCATCTTACCGTTAATGATTTTAATTTAACCGCCGCGCTTTCGCCGGCTTAATCACTTTCGGACCGGATACTGGAGAATAAAATATCGGTTCATACATTGTTCATACACCTGGGCACGAAGTAAGACATAAATACTCGACTTACTCGGGGAACTTTCTTATGAATAATGGCCGCGGCCTGATTTCACCGAGAAAAGGTGGCCAAGGGCGGAAACTGAGGCCAAGAGCTATCGTAGAAAAATGTTTTTCTTAATCCTCGACCCCGCCTCTTGAGGAGCAGTACTCTCGTAAATGCCGATGCTGCCTACCTACAGGTTATTAGCCTCCATTGAAGTCGTACCTCGCATATTCCCTCGCCGCTCATTGGAACATTGTTACTGCGAGGCCGACGCGCCATAAATTATTCCATAGAGAAAGACATTCCTAGTCGAAGTAGTTGAGAAAAATTCCCCCCCGAATTTCTTCTTCGTCGAGTTTTAAAACCGGCGATGAGTTAAGCCGTCACGGCCCTCGCTCGACTTGATACTCGATAATTATTCCGTTTTTAAGCCCGTCTTTCACGTTACCTCAGAGAATACTCTCACCATTCGAATCGTGAGGAGTCTTGCTGCGAGTTCTTGTACGTCTACGTATGAACGCTTCCCTCTATCACGCCGACTTTTTCTACGCAACATCTACGTCGCTTCAACTTGCCTTAAACATAAGCCTTCCATATAAAAATGAAAAAAGAACGTTGAAGGTGAAATTTGAAAATATCGTTGATCGTTCTTAACTATTCCCAGATACCCTTGCGCGGTTAGTGGCAATTAATTTCAGTACTCTTTTTATTTCTTATTCCCATTATTTTTATCTCGTTCTGAATGCCAGTGGTTTAACCAAGAGAATAACGCCCTAACGAAAGTTGTGATAATACGAAAACACGATGTTTATGTACGTAGCAATCAACTATAAGAATGCGTACGAGTTTCAATAATAACGTGGTACCCTTCGTGCAGGGCTATAACGAGTCTACTTCAAGAATATATCACTCTACGTCGACAGGACATCGCGAGGAACCGGGAACGGCGGTTTAATTTCCCCCGAAGTTCGGAGAGTCGTCTCGTTAAAAAATGGTCAACCGCCGTTCTCATTTATCTCCTCTTTCAGCGTGCATAATTGGAACGTCGTTTATTCCTCGAGCCATCCCATTTATTACTTGTGCGTGCCTCCGGGGCAGGAGACAATATTTCCGACTTACCGGCGCGGCGCGGGGGAAAGAGTCGCCGTCCACTTCGGTGTTTACATAACCTCCGCCGGCGGGTCGCGGGGTGAAGCCGTGGGTGGGTTTATTTTTTTTTTTTTCATTTTTCAATATCTCAGAGAAGGACTCACCGGCGGACGGCAGGAGTATCTCCACACCCGCGAGGAGTAGCACCGAGTGGAGCAGCATTTTTCCCGCAGTCGAACAGCGGCCCCGAACTTCCTGGTGGGCGAAGCGGCCTGGCTAGTGCAGGAGAGCGGGCGGCTTCATCGCGCCGGCCAATCGGACGCCGCGGTCCAACGGAAAGGGCCAATCGCGCGCCGCGGTCCAACGGAACGGACCAATGGGAGCTCGGCGGGGCCGCGGACTACCTAGCGCGTGGTTACCGGTCGTCGCGACAAGAAAGACTGAGCATCGGCCGGCTCCGTTCACGGCGCCTCGATCTGCCGGTCGCGGTCGTCTCTCTTCGTGGTCGCGCTGGATGGTGGCGGATCGTCCGCGCGACCGGGAGGTGTCCTCGTTCGAGTAAAGACCTCTCACCCGAGAATCGAGACGCTGTTAAACGAAGTTTATGGCCTCGGTGCATCCCGCCCGAGACTCGATGCAAGGACCGGCTAAATGTCATTTAGTTCCACGTTTAGGCGGGTAATGAGACTCTCCGCTCTCGTAATTCCCTCACCCTTGTAGAACTCTCGGTACTTCACACATTGAACTCTGACTATGGTTTTTGGAGCTAGGGACGTGCCTAGAAAATATGTAAATTGTGGGGTATTAATATCAATCGGAGAATGGTACCTGTTACTGGTGGATAGTACCAATGGAGGTGTGGCGGTAACGGGGATCTGGAGGAATTAATTTTTTTTTCTTTTTTTGGGGAGGAAACCTTTCCACTAGGACTGTGGGAACCTGAAATCCAAATTGATGCACAAAGACAATTAACAGGCTTGTTGGAATGTTTCTGTGATGGACACGTTTGTGCCATTGTTTTTTTACAAAAACCAGGAATGTTGGAAAAAATTAACAAATTCCGAAAGTGTGACCATTTTAGCATTTTTCAGGTTTTGGGAGGCTCTGAATTTTCCTGACGTCGGAAAATCCAAAAATAAAAATCCACTAGATAACGTTGGCGAAGGCCTCACCTATATCCCTAGGGATCTTGCCTTCGAGAAATATAAACGCTCATCGGCGGAACTAATGGCTTAAGTACTTTTGCTATGCCGAGTTGCGTAATTCTCCAAACGCTAGGAAATCGTACTCCTTTGCCATTAGAACATGTCGATGTGTACACGCGATTGTGACCGTACTAGCGACATTCTGTGGACTTTAAATGTGCAACACCTAACGTAAGCGCATCCTACAAATATCGACTAAATGTCACTTAATTGTGTGTTTGGACGAAGCTTGGTCGGAGTTTGGCATTCTAGGCGAGGCTTTTTCTAGGTCTAGGTATATATCGAGAAAGTATCGTCAGTGCTAACGATACGTTTCCTCGGTTTATAGAAATTGAAAGTTATACCAGGATGTATCCTCGCGATGTGCAGAACCATTCTTGGCTCGGCTTGGAGAGGATTCTCTTGTATCTGATTTAACAGTTTCTAGACGTGACCCGGACCAGCGTAACTGATCGAGTGACTTCTTTCTCTGTTGCAGAAACTTAAGAAGACCATGATCTTCCCCGAGCAGCTGCAAAACAGCGAAGCCGTCGAAGCATCGATCAATCAGCACTTCACTTACCTGCACGGAGTCCTGCAAAATGTCGAGAAACAGCTGATCGATAAGCTATACGATCAACGGACCAACCTGAAGAGCAACCTCGAGGACATAGAAAGACAGATCAAAATCCAAGAGGAACAACTGCTGGCGGGCCTTCGGGTATTTAAAAAAGATACTATATTGATTTAAAATCAATTCACCGACTCGCTTAATTTTAGGAAATTCTTGCGAACTTTTCGCTATTACTGTAGGATTGGTAACTTATAATTATCTCTGGTTAATCTGATCTTAACAGATGACGAAACTCCGCACGAGGGCCGTCATGAAAAATTAGCGTAAACTCTACAGACATTTGTAGACCTGCTCTTTCATATAAACCCGTTTTTCTTGTTCCAGTAATCTATGTGCTCTGATACCCTAGTGGCATACATCTGTTACAAGAACTTAAGGAGTATCGGGGCACGATCATTTATTTAGAATAATGTTATCATTTCCCAGATGGCGGCCACTGCAAACGAGAGTTTAGACAAAGTTAACTTGAAGGACGTAATCAGGCGTTTAGAGGATCTGATGGATATCCCTTGTCACCTTGTCCAGGATCCGATTCCCGAAAACGAGAAAATAGTGTAGGCACCTTTCTTCTTGCAAAAAAGTCAACGAAGGTTCATTGGTAACCGTTAATATATGTGAAAAATTTTTTTTCCAGATTTCACGTCGATAAAGGCGTTGTGGATAGTATCGAGAATCACTGCAAAATCGAAGTACCAAGGTTGTCCAACTTTAACCTCCTTCGCGAAGATCATCTGCCGCAAGACTACGAGTTAGAGCCCCTGAAGATTGAAGAAATACCAAGTACGGAATGAACGGCACCTGCTTGCCATTAATACCAGGGAGAATTTTTATTCTAAACAATAAACTGCCAGAAGTCACTCTTGGGACGCGTAAGCCTGATCTTAATTCTGTGATTTATTTCTGTCGAAGGGATTTGGGAGATCTCATCAATAAGGAGAAGTTCTCCAACGCCGTCGGTCTCTTCACGTCGTTCCGACAGCAGCGGAGGCCACATATTCGCAGGTAAAATTAATCAAACGAACGATATGGAAATTAGGATGAACCCAAATCCACCCGACGAGTTCTCTCTTCTGGGAGTCCTGTCAAGCGGTCGATTGTTCCGGACACTTGTAAGCTCTTAATGAAATTTCCCTGAAGACTGAAATCCCGACTCGACTAGATAAAACAATACGAAGTACGCCGAGGTGTGAATTAATCCGTTTCCCGTTAAAGGGAGTTCCGAACGTGTCAGAGTGACGCACATCAACGACCCGACGAACTTTTTCGTTCAGAGGATGTCCATGGTCAAGACTTGCGAAGATCTGCAGACAATGCTGGAGAATTATGCATCCAGCAGCACCAACGAACCTGCGGAAGTTGTTCAGCGTGAGTGTCCCGTAATTTGTCCTTTAATTATTAAGAAAAACACCGGCCAGCGATCTCGTTTCAAAAAGGATCTCCCTTTTTCTCCAGACAAACTCTTCGTCGTGCAGCGTCTAGAGGATCAGAAGTGGTACCGTGGTCGCATAAACTCCATAAGCACCAATGATGAGGGCAAGCAGTGTTACGAGGTGTTTTATGTGGACTTCGGTTTTGTGGAGAGTGAAATCCCTATTACGAGACTACGATACATCACATCGCAATTCTCTACAGTGCCGTTCTTGGCCATAAAATGTTCCTTGTATGACATCGTGCCGAAAGCGGGAAAGTGGAGGCCGGATGCCAATAAGTCCATGTGGAACATGATTAGGGGGTACATAAATCGAGATCCCCCTATTATTTTTTTTTTCTTTGCTCGCGACCGATCATTACCGCATCGCGCGACGCAACAGTTCTTATTACTATTTAATCTACCAGTTATTAGTCATAGACCGAACATGGTCTCATAGATTAAATGTCTCCCTTTTACAGGGAGGACTGCGTAACGATGCATATCATAAAAATTATCGGGCAAGCGTATTTCGTGGATCTCTGTAAAAACCCCACAAGAGATGGAGATTGCCCTGTATCTGTTCGCGATAGTCTCATCTTCCTCGAACATGGATGCTTCGTCACATCTCAGAAACTACTGGTACGTCCATATTCGAATTAAGCACATTTTCCAAATGTCTATCCGTATTAATCAGCTGATCCATTTAGAGAACGAATCCCCAGTCAGTGCGGAAATTCTTCCGCGAGGAGATTTCCTTCAATAAATTCTGTTCGGTGTTTTGTATCGAAATCGAGTCCCCGGAATGTATATACGTGCAGAAAGTAAGTTACAATTACGTTCTTATTCGGTGCAAGAACTACGGCGAAATCCTCGCTCTTACTTCATTATAAACTGCTTCTCTTAAAGAAAGGCATCTACGCGCAGTACCTTGAAAAGCTCATTCTCGACATGACTGCCCATTACTCCAAAAGTGTCAACGACAAGAGCGTAATTCACATGCCCGAGATCGGTGAGTTTCGACTGAGTTAACATTTTCCCGTGGTAATTAGCGATCTTTATTTATACTTTAATTTCTATGTTATTTAGGTATGCCTTGTGCCGTGAAGGACACAGATGGTTCGTGGGTTCGAGCGAAGATCTGCAATACTCCTGGCGAGAGAATGGTGGAGGTTTTTTACGTAGATAATGGACGTAAAGAGGTATATAAGTACGATGAAATACGGAAACTGCACAACAAGTTCATGACTATGACCACTCAGGCAAGCCATCTTTTTCATTACTGATTATCGGCCTCTCTCCGTCGACCTACAATTCTTTTTTTCTTCTTCTTCTTCTTTTTATTGATTATTTAATCATCAATAGGCTATAAAGGTTGCCCTAATGGACGTCAGGCCGTTATCTCAAAGCGAAGAGAAATGGCCTCCGGCTGCGATCGAATTTTTGAAATCCCGCCTGGAGAGATCCATGATTAAAATATTTCCTTTCGAAAAGAAAGACGATACTTACAACGTCACGATCTATATCGAGGAAGACGTGAATGTTAATGCGATGCTCGTCAATAAAGGTCTGGCACGAAGTACAGGGTCTAGGTAAAAAAAGAAAAAAAGAAGTGCTATCCCGTCTCATGATATCCTGAATGCTTTTCGATAACTATATATAATACGGATAATGAACGCAATGTTTCAGGTCTGTGACTGCAGTAGTTCAGGAAGAAACTAGAAAGCCCCGGAAGAAGAAGAACCCGAAGAAAATGCTGTTACAAACGTTATCGACACCCATGGTGTCTTGGGATGGTAACGACGAGCTCGAGCTCGAGAAAGCCAAATCCCGAGATGATCAAGACCCCTTCAGACTGTGCGTGAAAATTGCTCAAGTGGAGTCGCCGGATTGCATTTACGTAGCCGATGCCTCGCGCGAACAATCGATCGAGATCATGAAGGAGGCGATGCAAGACTTTTACAATTCGTATCAATCGAGCGGCCTAAACGAGTACAAGAAGGATTCCGCTTACGCGGTTTACTCCGCCAGGGACAATGCTTATTGTCGAGCCAAGTTGCTGGAGATAAAGTCTTCCAAGGAGATCGTGGTATTTTTTTACGACATGGGCATTACCGATACCACGTCCATGCAGAACATCGAGCCTCTGCATAAGAAATTCCTCGACATCCCGATGTACCTCTTCAAGGTGAGACTGGCTGGGATATTACCCTGCGGAGGCTCGAATACGTGGACCTCCCACTCGTGCGAAAAACTGAGCGACATCATCCAGGAGAATCAGAATTGCAAATTCTTTATCTCCAAAGTGGTAGGTTCACGAAGTTAGCCCTAACGAGGACCTCGGAATTGGAGTGCTCAGGGTGGTTAACGTCTCTTATTAATGTCCCCGAATAGACGGAGACCGAGGACGCCGATGCGATTCCTGTAGAGCTCTTTGTGAAACAAGCCCGGACAGATGGACCTCTTCTGCCGACCAAGATCGAAATCAATTCAGTCAACAGGATGCTCGTCGAGTCGGGCGTCGCTCTACCTATTAAAGAGTACGTATCTTGATAAAAAATGTCGCTACGGATATGATCTTAGACGCTAATGTTAAACAATAATATTAAATACGTCGAACCGTTCAGTTACATGGAGAAGACGGACAAGGTGCTCGCCGTTGAACTGAGGCGTCAATTGGGTCTTGCCGACCGAATCCAGGGCGAGACTACCGAAAATTGGCACCTGAAGGAGCAGGAATTTGAAAACATGGCTGATGTGATACACGACCTCGCGATATTGGGCAAGAAATGCGAATCCCTTTCGGAGTCGGATACCTTGAGCGATTCAGAAGGTGCATCACTGATAGATGAGAGTCTGCCACCGAAATTGGCTGCGTGGATTCCGCCAGCACCGATCTTGGATGATCGGTTTGTCGCCGTAGCGACCTATCTAGATCACAACTGCGTCCTCCACCTGCATTCCGAAGAGCAAAGTATGTTCCTAATTATTCCAAGAGTTAAATTACGGCTTCCGAGTACGTGTAGTAAATGTCTCACCTTATAGACGGTAGCGTACTGAAGATGATAGAAGAAGCTCTGGAGGAACATTATAAGAACGTGAAAATAAAGCCGTACGACAAAGTCTGGAAGGAAGGTGAGATCTGCGTTGCTCAGTATCACTGCAACAAGAAGTGGTACAGAGCTCAAGTCCTAAAAGTTCTTCCAAACGACATGATTCAGGTGGGACTGTTGGACCATCTCGATTTTCAAAGTGGGTAAAAAAAAGTCGGTACCAGTAAATTAAGACGTACCTTGTTGCAGGTTCAATTCGTGGATTACGGTAATATCGAAGAATGCGCCGTTGGTACTTTGAAGAAACGGGTAATAATGGGGCATCTACCGATACAATGTACAAAATGTGTCATCTACGGCCTGGTACCGGTAATTCTTTCCCTAATTACGTGTCGCTTAGTTGAAACGCGCTGGGTTGGTTACAATGCCCTTTTATTTTGTTTCTAACTTATCTTGCAGAACACGGAGGATGATAAATGGTTGACTCAAGATTTGGATAAGATACATGCACTGTTAGTCGACAAGGAGAGTTTAATAACAGTACTGGAAAGGAAGCCAGAACATCTCGTGGTAAGTAGTGATGGCATTAATTGCGTTATTCTTCAATCGAGATGACGTACTCCAGTGTGACTGTATTTTTAATATCCATCAGGTCTCCGTAATGATGCTGCAACCTAAGAAACAAGACTTAATAAGTTATCTGTTCAATGAGCTTAACATGGACGTCCGGATAGGAAATTTAAACTCGAGTTCGGAAGCGTCTGTACTTACCGAATCCGACACAATTACAACGGACACCCCGGATGTCATTGTGGAGGGATTCGTGAAAGACGATAAGGCGGATGAAGAATCCGAGAATGGTGAAAATTTAATTCTCGAACCCAGTTTGGACGAAGAACTGTTTCTGGTGGATGAGAGTAAAGATGAGAATATAAACGACAATGTAGACAATGATATAGTCAGTGCGGCATCGAGTTCCATAAAGGATGCAAGCGCAGAACATTTGGACGACGATCAGACAGAGAAGGACATGGAAAACATGTCTTGGGTGGATATAATTAGCATGGAGGAACAACTCGTTACATCCACGCTTGAAAACGAGTCCTCCGATTATCCCTATCCTTACGCAAGACTGAGTATACCAAATAATTTTAATCTTGACTTGGATCCAGTCTTCGTGTTCAGTCCGACTGGTTTTTTCGGATCCTTTTCGAAGAACAAACATTCAAAGGTATACACGAGACGTAATTATAATTCGCATCGAATAGTTAGTGAAGAATTTATTGAAGAATTCATCGAATTTCAGATGTTCGAGGCCTATGTGGAGAAGTTCGAAGAAATACATATCGACATGCAAAAGAATTCCGTCGATCAGCCATTGTTAAATACTTTCGAGCCAAGTAAGTTCGTAGTATTGCGTTTCTTTATCTTACGTATCGAATTCTTATATTATAATTTCGATTTCAAATGGCAGATACTCCATGCTGTGCGAAATTCACGCAAGATGACACTTGGTATCGAGGAATTGTGGTTAATGTCGAAGAAGATGGGCAGATTAAGTTGCAATTTGTTGATTATGGTAACGAAGAATACCATTTACCAGAAGAGTACGTTTTATAATTTATCATTAGGCCTGTATTATTTTTATCGTGGCGCTCAAATATATTCCGTTTATTTCATCCCAAAGAAAATTCTAATAACATGTTCTAACGAGGAAAAAGGAACAAGAAAGTAAGAAAGCATATTTAAGTGCACATTGTTGTTGCAGGATACACGTCCTTAAAGAGGAATGGCAAAAAGTTCCAGTTATGTGCGCAAAATGCCGACTGTGGTGTATTACTTTAGGTCCTGGGCAACAAGTAACTCCTGAATTGAAGGAACGGTTGACAGATATTTTTTATAAGGGCCCAGTAAAGGCCAAAGTTAAGGTCAGTAATTAAAAGTTATTCCTATAATTTCAGTCCAGTGCAACTGGAATAATTGTTCTACTTTTCTAGGAATCTTGTGATGATTTATTAGATGTGGAATTGTATGCAGATGAAGAGCGTACGATGCTTCTTTACGGTACGTTGATTGAAGAAGGACTGTTCCAATTGAAAACGACCAAAGCGGAATAGATTTTAAATACTAAATAAAACGAAACTATAAAGATAAACGAAGGTAGTGTAATATATGATGCGACTGTGAGCAGGGCGAAAGATTTACTTTTACAACAGTTACATGATCAAAGTATTTTGCGTTTAGTATTAAAGTTGAATAGGATAAAACAAATAGTATTTTTTTTATATTTTGACGATCAAGACCTATGTTATCACTGAATATTTTCTTATTCATGTTTTCGCTAAAATTCTTATATTAACGTTGTGTACTTTTGGCAATCTGCTCCTTCAGTACCAGAATACTCTGTCTCTGTTCTGGCGGCAGCATTGCAATTTGTTCGTCTGATAATTGTAACACTTGCATAATCAGAGCAGCCTGTAACAGAATGTAAACATGAACAACTTCTCAAATTATAGCTGATACAGGATATTACTGTTTATAAACGTTAAATTCAATATAAACCGCGCATATATATAATAGATCTATAATCTATTTTTATTCTTACAGAACTTTGTACGAATATATTTGTTTTTGTAAAAAAAAAAAAGACAAAGAAAGTTAAGTAAATATGTTTATGAATCATGCCATACCTTTTCTTGGTCCGATGCACCACTAGGAATATTTCCAGCCGGTGACATGCCAGCCATGAGTCTGGATGTTGCAGTGCTACTTGACGTAGCAATGGATACAGAAGCTCCCGTAGGTACAGCATTTACCGTACTTACACTAGCAGGCTGTACAACGGGAGGAGGTGCAGCAACTGGTCGAGGTACAGTTGTAGATGGTGCAGACACTGGTGCAGGTGCTACAAGAATCGGAATTGAAGTTTCAAATTTTTAACAAATATATATTAAGAATTTCAAAAGGATATATGACTTACGATTAGTTTTGGATATTCTGGGATCAACAGGCATCCTTGGATCTCGAGGATCTCGTCCTTCCCTTCCAAATCTATCGCCCCTTGGATCGCGACAGAAACTACATAAGAAAAATATAAATTATATTAAAATAAAAAATGAATAAAATGTAATATTGTGATCATAATTATAACACCTCTCAACTCCTTCTCCAGGAAGAGTGCTGCACAAAACAGGTCAACGGTATTGAATTATGAGCAGCAAAATTTCTGCGATAGTATAAGTATTTCAAATTCTAACCTGTCACCAAGACTGAAAGCAGCGGTTCCACGTGGATCAACTATAGGAGGAATAACAGGTGGAGCATTGACTAAAACTGGTTGGGTTTGCGGAGGAGCACGCAAATCTTGGTCCATTCTAGCTAATCGTGGATCCATCTGCCTATCCAGAGTTCGTAGATCAACGTCTTGACCTAGAGCAAATAAATTAAAATGCATATATAACATTGCAAATAAATTATGGCAAGAGATAATAATTACCTGCAAAAATCGGTGCAGGAGGATTGGCAACAGGTGCGGGTCTAGGTACCGCCCAAGGTTCTTCGATTCTTGGTGCAGATGAATGCAATGTCAGCTTGTCAGAAGGCATTATCACACCAGGAATAGGATTAGCTTTATGCAGCATGTTAACTGCTGTATGAGGATCGACTATTCTCATTACCACTTGTGCTTGAAGTAATGCATAAGCCAATTGAGGGTTTTGGAGTAACATTTGACGGGCTTCGTTGGGATTATTTTGAACACATAATTTCATTTGTTTCATCAGTTCAAACATTTGTTCAGGAGGTAAAGACGCAACAGCCTTGCTTATCGCTTCTGGTGCTTTATCAGCCTGTACCGCTTCGCCATAAGGGTTTTCAGTATTCTGCCCCTGTAATAAGCTTTGCATCTCCATTCTGCTTTTCTCCGTGCATGCATTGTCAACGCGTAACGTTCGCCCACCGATTTCATATCCATTCAAGTTACGCATGGCACTAAGTGCCGTCTCTTGATCTTTATATTCACAGAATCCATATCCCTTTGGTTTCCCGGTCTCACGATCGAACACTAACCTGCAATACAATTTGACAATTAAAGTTAGATAAAGTACTAAACTAACAAAAATATCACATATCTTACTTGAAAGAGAGAACAGGACCAACTTCGCTGAAGATATCCTTCAAGTTTTCTTCCGTCGCTTCGTAAGGGATGTTCCCCACTGAAGATAGACCAATTTTTGAATACAGATTTGAGGTTATATGCCTTCTACATGAAAACCGCTTTACAAATTACCAAATTACTCACCGAAGACACTCCGCATCGATTTGTCCATCAGGGATTGATCGGAAATAGTTGAATTACTCATTTTTGGCCCTGTTTCTGTTTTGTTTGACGCGGTTTTTAAATATCGAACCGCTTATTTTGACGGCACAAACCACTCGGGAAAACTTACACGAGAGATCGCACACCCGTTGCGCGCTGCCCTATGTTACCCTCTACATCACTCTCAAATCATACATTTCTTATTATACAATTCATAATCGGTACAGTATCATCTCTGGTATCATCTCTTCCTGCCTTTTCGATAAATATCCCACAGCACGTGCTTCTCGATAATTTTCCAACCAAAGGTAACTCTTTTCCTTCAGTAACCTCAGATAACCTTAAAATATCTTCCATATCGTCGGCGCTTCCCGCGCGTCCCGCCAGATGGCGTCGGCGCGCAGAGTCGAACGGCAGGTGGGCACGCTATACTCCTGCTGCAACTTTGAACCGCTTTCACCGCGTACGGTGCTGTACAGTACAGTTCAGTACAAGAAGAGACGCCGCGTTGAGAGCGTCGAAGGTGCGAGACGCCGCGTACTTCATCTCGTTCGGCTTGTAGAGTGTACTTCGTTAATTCCTAAAACAATGTAAATGGATAATCCTGGATAACTCGGTCTCTTCTTAGCGTCAGGTAAGTGCGTCGAAGCGTCTCTGTTCTCTAAATACGCGCACTCACTGCACTGCTCCGTAATGTCCTTCGAAAGTTCCTCGGAAACTGGTTTCTCGCTCCCTGTGTACCGAGCATTCCGCTGCGTCGGAACAAGTGGTTCCTTCTTGCATTTTCTCGCGTTTCTCGCGCATCGTTCCGTTACCAACCTACTGCTCTACAGGCGTCGCGGATTACGTCCGTGACCTCAATTAAATCCAGCCGCATAATGCTCAGTTAATATCCAGATACTCGTCGGTGGCTAGACCTGCAGCAGCTTAACCTATTTGTTTACACCTTGGGAAAACTTTAGGCACACATCACCCCGATATACCCTGAAAGAGTGAAAGCGCTCCACGTAAGTCCTGAACTATTTAAAAACGATAAACAGAAGCACCTTATCCATGTCATTAAAAAATACATTAATTCCCACAGAAACAAAAACCTTCACTCCATTGAAAAAAATAACTGGACTAGGTAACAAAAATTTCAACGTGCAATCAGGGAAATCCTGAGCGCCTAAATCCGCCTAATTCTTCACGTGACGTAACTGTACATAAAACTGCACGCGGAGACTCGTTACGCGGTCTGAATTATGGCGGCAGTAATTGCGAAAGGTTTTTGCATTGCAGGTTAATTAATGAAACCTGCAGTGAAATGAGCTCTGGTGTTTTTCCTCGTTTTTGAGTCCACACACTTTCCTTCATGTGAGTAGAAAAATAAGTATCATCGTGAGGTGCGTTTTAAAAAGTCCAGGGTCTCTTTACTTCAGGCGTGTACTACATTCGCTGCTTTAGGACTCAATGTAACGGTAACGGGACAACCGACTCGCGTTCGGTCAACGCCATTCACCCGGCTTGGGACGGACTCTTCACAGGAAGCTTTTACTTTAGTGGCCGCCACTGGTCATTATGCCCAGCCGATGCGACGGAATGAGAATTTCTGCGACGACGCTACGTTACATCATTTCACGTTGCCGTGTTGTTCCCTCAGTACTTTCAAGTAGCCGCGGAGTTTCCGTCCCGGTCCGGTGAAGCGATCTAGATCTCCCCGGCCTCTTGGACATAACCGTAACGTGTCGAGCTGGGGATAAGAACGGTTACTGAGAGCCAAATACTGGACACAGCTTGCTCTATCATCCCTCCATATAAACCTAGAGCTTTGTACGAAAGTGCCCATGTATCTACCTTTTAACCAGACACTGCCTTGATACGTGTAATTGCGTTTTAAAACACATTTTAATACCAGTATCAAACTCTGGGCCCAAATTCACCCTCAGCGGTAGATTATGCAAATTGTTCATTTGTTACGTACGATAGAGAAATTTCGGGCAAGCTGAGTCAGATAAAATAAGTTTAAAGTTATCTGTTAATTAGTACTCGTGCGTTCTTCCAAGGACCTCGAGCCCGGCCGCGGAACAATTGTTAATGAAGAATCTGTACAATGTTATTGAAAATGTTTATCAAGGTAGCACTCTAATTGCTGGCTCGTCTTTAAACGATTACGGGGCGTAATGGCGGATACTTAGGGGGCTCTCGAAGCCTGTGTTACTCAGCGATCGATTTAGCTTATTGGATTTCGAGGAATATCTATGGAAATGTAAAATGAGCGGAGATAAGGTACTTCGGTTTTCTCGGCCATTGGAATTTACTTTGTCGGGGTACCGGAGATAACGGAACGTAAACGTCTCCGCCGTTATCACGCGACCGCCCACGCGCGTTCTCGTGTGCGTGTCTAACGTGAGAGCGTTGTCACTCTTGCGGGGCATGCGGAGGCTCGATTATCTGAATCGAGTTGTTCCACGGTCGATTTGGAGGCTCGCACGAGACTTCTGCCTCGGAAAACCGTGAAAGGGAAGCGAACCCCTCCACTGTTACCGGTTCCATTTTTCTCGTGGAACCTGTCGAGGGGCTCTGGGAGCAACGTCCAGCATCCGAACTGAATCCACACTAAAAAAGCACCGACCGCTCGACGGTCCGCCTTGCTCGGATTATCCAGGATGCCGAAGCAGTCCTGCAACTTTTTCCCAAGAGACGGGGAATCGTCCTGCACTTTAAACCGTGCATCCCGAAGCGTTTATTCCATCTATCAATTCTTCGAGACCGCCACAAACTTCGAGATTTTTCTTTTAGGCGCGACCTCTTTCATAGTTATGGGAATTAACTCAGGCAGGGAGATATGGAAATAACGCGTTGCTTGAATTAATTAATTTTATTTCTCCTCCCGTAGTGAATTTTTTCTTTCGGTTATGTGTCTTCCTGGTATTTATAAAAGCTATGTTAGCAGTGAAATAGTAAGAACTTGTGGCGCTCGAATTATTTAAGCTTTACTTCCCGTTCCGAGTAGTAATCAACGGTAGGCACTTTTCTGCTCCGAAATCGTCACCCACGCTCTCTTCCTCATTACGGGGAAAGTAACGAGGTCCCTGCGACAATTTTACGCTTCGCCCGACACTCACGGTCGTTCGGGAAACATCCTCTTCCCCGTTCCTCCACTTTTTTTTTCTCTTCTTTTCCGCGATTGTTTGTCCTTTGTGGAAGACTGGCATTGTTCTCAGGAGCCGCTTTGCGGTATCCGATGCGCTTCTACCCGAGATCCTCGTGGCCGAGGTCGACGCTCGTGAAGCCACTTCCTGCAGCCGATAATGTCACCCGAGATAACACGTCGTCGAATCGATCGGCCGTTGATTCGCGATCGCAACGTCAATGGCTAATGGCTTTACGCTTGACAATCCTGCCGGAAGTGATTCATCCCCGTTTTTCACACTTTACTAGCCCGACCGATATCGTATTACTCATCGCTGATAATCTCGAGTGTTCCCCTTATCCCGAGGGAAGGGACGATTTTCTCGAGTTCTCTTTTTAGGCCGCCCAAGAGGCGGACTCCGTTATTCGGTCACGCCGTTACCCTCGTCTGGGAATCTAGGACAAGAGGCTGGAAACACGGAAACGCGGAAACTTGACACGGTGTCCCCGAATCAGCTGTTCGAGCTGGACCATTTATTGCCACCCTATGCATCTATTTGCCAACGCGATAAGTTATCGCCGATCATTGGTTGGTCAGGGCTTACGGTACGGGATGAACAAGAAAGATAAAATAGGAAGACGCAAGAATGAACTCTCTCTCTCTCTCTCTCTCTACTTTTTTTTTTGGTTTTCCTTATTATTTATATAACCGCAGAAAATCATCAAATCAGAGGTCCGAGATAGGTACCTTCGTGGTCCAATCATTGTTAAGGCCATCTCCCCTCTGGGACTTCTGGGGAAGTGATTAGCTTGCTTATTCGAGCGTCGTCTACTGCTAGTTAAGTTTTTCCAGAGCAAGACCGCCCTTCGTCGGGTCTTTCGATCGGGCTTCCAAGGTCCGCTTCGCCCCTCGGGTTTTGATGCACGTGGAAAAGTTACTGGATGGAAATTAATACACGCGACGTCGCACGGCCGGATAATATATTTAATAGAGGGGGAGAGGCCATCTTGCCCGTATGGTTTCAACTCGGTCTCTCGTTCAATGAGCCTACGAGCTCTCGCTTGTGTCGGTCCGTTCATATACGTCGAACAACAGGAGCTGGTCTGCCATTCTGGTACGAGGGAACAAACACCACAAATAGGGACCCTAGCACTCGCCCTAGGGACACCGGGGCTTTCGCTTTCAACGCTCTTTTGATCGCAGGCATTCAACCGGAGATTTTCGAATTTTCTCATGGTATGAGGGAATTTTTGATGAAACGTTTATCCTGATTTTTCTTCTCCGATAGGGACCTTGGCATTCGCTCTGAACGTCCTTTTGATTACTCGTGGACAACCGAGGGCTTTTGAATTTGCCTACGGTCTGAGAGAATTTTTTCTCGAGCTGGAATCAGGACTTTTTTTCTCTGATAGGAACTCCAACACTCTCTCTACGGATGCAGGCTTTTATTTTCAACGTCCCTTTAACCACTCGATATGCGATCAGAGATTTCGATATTCGCCCACGGTCTCATAGAATTTCATCCTGATATCGTGCTCGATTTTATCCTGATACCGATATCGTGCTGATTATTTCTCCGTAATGTTAAGATTATTAATCGACATTTATCGCCCGCAAACGGACGTGCCTTTTTTCTATGTTGTTTCCACTTTGTGCGTCCTGCTGCGTCGCGATTGCATTTATCATGATCTGTTTGAGAATATCGAAATGTACCGAGCCTTGTCAGAATCGTATGTTTCAATTCAATTGGCAGTCGCATTCCGCGAGTTAACATCGTTCGGATATCTAATGTTTGTGGTGGAGGTAATATTGCTCAAATTTGGAGATACGGAGTGCTGATCGAGGCTAGTATTACGGTTCGTTTGCTTTCAATTAAGCGTAATCAACTTACTAGTTGGTACATACCGCTTTCGAGTGCTCGCACTGCGAGCAGAGTTATACAGCTGTAATGAAACGATGATAGAAATACCGGGAATTAGGATAAATATTTTAGCGAATATTCTTTACTAATTTCTTGATGTATTGGATTAACGATTAAATCGTTGGTGGTCGAAAAAAGTGGTTCACATTGAAATTCTAGAATTTCAATGGTAGCCTTTGGTTTCGCCTTTCGACCCGTCGAAGCGATAAGGCATGCAGGGAAAACCACATAATTAAATGCAAATTGTTATGAAAGATGCCAGGAAAGATTCCTGTGGTTGTGACTTTCGAATCGGTCGATAGAACGTAGAGATTTGAGCTTTCACGGTTTCCCAACAAACTCGATATTTCGAGAGTGGCTATAGCCTGCGGTCTAAACAATCCCTCCCACCTGACTTTCTTGACGTTTGATTGTTTTTAATTGTCATGAAAACTGTGATTGCAAGGTAGGAACTATTAATTAGAAAATTCCGCAGGATTTAACGATAAACTATCATGGCTCGGCGGGAGTTTCGTGATTCCCGAGTTTCCCCCGGTTGTGCCGGTAATAGTTGCAATAATGTAATCAGTTTCCCCGGCACTTATCATTTTTCCTACGC